ATATATTCTGCAAGAATTTTCAGAATTTCCTATATGTTTGGAGGCATTTCTACTATGTATCAAAAAGAAATGTACCAGCTGACAAGGAAATAGTTCTAGTTTCTCAAATACGAAGGTCTTAGAATAATAGTTTGCTATTAATAAAAAAATCAGTGCTTTGTCGTAAGAAAAACATGGAATAAAAGGATTAAAGGATTGCCAAATAAATAACTCTTATGTGTTGTCCTGCTTAAAGCAGGTGGAGTGAAGCAGGCTGGGCAGCAGTAATGTGCACGTGCACATGTGCTTAGACCAAAGAACTGTGTCACAGCTGCTGTAAGAAGATTCTAGGATCTTCCCTCTTGAGGAAGTAGGCAGCTTGTGACCTTTTCAAGGGATTATCCTTTCAGTCAGGTGACTGTGTGACATGATTTTCACAATTTAATGCTGTATGGTATATAAATGGCAAGTAAAAGTGCTGCTTTTTAGAAGATCTGCATAAACAGCTTTGCACGCTTCACGCTCCAAGTGTTGCTGGATTGTTGTTCCCATCAGCTGCAACCCCCCAAAAAAGTAGTTGAGGGATTATGGGGATTGCAGTACACAATGTTCAAGAGAATCAGATGTTCCCCCTTAGCATGGAATGTTTTTCTTAAAAGGTAATTTGTTCATACAACTCATTATAGGATTAGAAATCCATCCCATTGTTCTTGCTGTTTGCCATGTTCAAAAGCAATGTGTGTTTATTCACTGTGTTGCTCATTATTTTGTTCTAAATTGTTATTATTTTTTTAAAAAACCCTTAGAACTGATAAGCAAATAGCATAAAACATGAACAATTTCTCTTAGAATTCCTTTTCAAAAAAGGCCTTTAAAAGTAATGTTTAAAAGTAACTGGAAAATATTGCCTTATTACATCTGTAAAGCAGTTTTGTTCCTACTTCTTATGTTACATTTTAAATTTTACTTTACTGATTAACCATAAATTCCAAGCTCTGTATTTCCATTCTGGTCCCATTCTGGTCCCAAAAGATTAGCATGGGTAAGGCAAGTATGCTTTCTAATTGTAGGCAAACTATTAGGCTGAAGTGGGTTCTGTACTAGAAAAGGGAGGTTTTTTTAAATTATCTGTTTGGTTAATTGACTACTACAGTATTTTATAATATTTATAATTTCTTTGATAAACTGTGTTTTCCCAAACATAAGACAGGGTCTTTTATTAATTTTTCTCCAAAAACTCATTATGGCTTATTTTTAGGGGATCTTTTATTTTTTTCATGTACAACTATTCAACTATTTATTCAAAAACAGTCATTCCATCTTCTTCTGGTTGCTGCACAATGGTGGAGGGCGGGGTTTCAATTAATTGGGGCTTATTTTTGGGGTAGGGCTTATATTATGAGAATTCTGAAAAATCATAAAGGTAAAGGTAAGGGTTTCCCTTGACATTTTTAGTCCAGTCGTGTCCGACTCTAGGGGGCGGTGCTCATCCCGTTTTCAAGCTGTAGAGCCAGCGCTTGTCCGAAGACAGTTTCCATTGCCACGTGGACAGTGTGACTAGGGAATGCCGTTTTACCTTCCCACCGAGGTTGTAGCTATTTATTTACTCACATTTGCATGCTTTCGAACTGCTAGGTTGGCAGGAGCTGGGACAAAGCGATGGGAGTTCACTCCGTCACGTGGATTCGATATTATGACAGCAGAGGCTTCTGCGGTTTAGCCCACAGCGCCATATTATATTATGAGAATTCTGAAAAATCATACTAGGGCTTATTTTAAGGTTCTTATTTTTGGGGAAACGGTACTAGTTGTCTGTTAGAAAATACAACCCAAGTGCAAATCTTTTTTGATATTCACTCATATATTGGGCATGTACTGTTTGCATCTCAAAATGGTTGTGTGACTCTGCCCTTAAATACATTGTCTTTTTTGATGCCTTGGCCTGTCTTTTTAGGTAGAACTGGGAAAGTTAAATGAACTCATGCTGAATGAATTTATTTTATTTACACAACATGCACCCTTTCTTACACATTGGGAGCAGCAGTCTAATTGCTAGTAGGAAGTGTGTGTGCCTTAGTATATGCGTGAGGGAGATAGCATATTAATCACCTGTCATTTTTGTGCTGGGTTCGAAAAACAAATACAGTAATTTGTTTGTCTGTTTAATTCTTGCATAGTCAGATCATGGCCCTGTACTCTTAAGGCTGGTCTGAGTATTTGCATTTGCTTCATATGTAATCTTAAAAATGAAATTTAAAACCCACATCCTCTTTTCCTCAAGACAGTCCAAACAGAATGCTGGTGTCTGCTGTGTGCCTCTTAAATCACCTCCCCCTTATGTAAAGTCGCAAATATGGATAACTTAGAAAAGGATTCACAAAGATTTATAAACAAAATTAAGTTTGCAAGGGAGACAAAAGATCTGTCAGGGAACATAAGATAAATTGTGGAAGAATGGATGGGACCTCTCAAGGACAAACATTTGGAAAAGCATTGGTATGAGATTCAAATTACTGTATACATTCAGTGTGCTATGTTTTTCTTTTTTCACTTCATCCGGTTTGTGGAGTTATGTGATTAATAGGTCTTATGTACATTTTAATAATGTTCAAACGTTGATTTTGTACTGCTTCTTAATATGGGTCAGATGCAAGATGACTGTAGTTGCAAAGCTTGGAAAAGTTACTCTTCTGAATAACAACTCCTAGGCAGTATGGCCAAAAAGGTTTTTTCCCCCCTATTCAGACCATATGGGTTCGTGATTAAGAGACTGGTTCGTAGCCACTTACATTTTTTAAGGAGTTGTACCTGGTAAAATAATGACCAGTACCTTGTCTACATAATATGAAGACTAAAGTGTCTATATTCTGCTGACTTGGAATGACGGCGATGCTTGTTTCTTATTATAGGAGTTTCCTTTTTCTGAGTTTTAGAGAATGAACACCAATGTTTATGCATATTTTACATAGTGGATGATGATTTGGTTTAGAATTGAACTGAAACTGATTTGGTTAAGGGCCTTTTCACCATCTTCATGGACTAGGCTGATGAAGTTTTCTCTTTTTTAGTATTAAGCTAGCCATTTTTCAGTTTTAAAGAGGCTTATTAGTCTGTCACAAATATTGCATTGCTATACATATTTTCAGTCTTCTTTATGTAGCAAAAAAAGTTATTTTTCTAACTCTAATGCCAGCACAAGTTCCTGAAAACAGCTGTATCTACACTTCAAAGACAGTAGTCGGTAATGACATCAATGGAAAGACGATTACTCTATCTATTGCAGGATGTCTATGTTTGAATGTTCATTATCACTGTTAATGATACCATTGTCACTTTGAAAGTTAATTAATTATGTAATTATCTTCATTTTCCCATCTTACTTTCTACCCCTCTATTATTGCTGCAGCTGATTGGATAGCTCATTGAGTGAGGTATCTGGCTGTGGAGCCAGAGGTTAGGGGTTCAGTTCCTCACTGTGCACCCGAAAGAGGCCTATGTGGCCTTGGGCAAGCTGCATGGCCCCAGGACACCACCACCACACACACACCCTCCCTGAGAGGAAGTGAATGATAAACCACTTTTGAATACTTTCTACCTAGAAAAATCTGAAAAGGGTTGCTATAAGTCACAATTTACTTGGAGGCATTCAAGAAAGTATTATCAGCACATGAGATCACAGCAATGATTTTGTGTTGGGACAGCAAATTATCATTCAATAAGTCAATTCTAAAAATGGCAGCTGTCCAAACAAAAATTTTTAACTTTTAAAATGGGCTTCAGATCAGCACCAAGTCTGTCGTAATTGTAGCAGATAGTCTGCTCTTGCTCTGTGCCAAATTTGTTGAAAACTGGGCAACGTTCTTCAAAAGGAATTTTTTTTACTTCCTCCTTTCAGCAACAGGCAACCCTAAATATGACCAGATTTAAAATAGATCATATAAATTGATAAGACCAGTCTTGTTTATCTTGAAAGACAATAGTTGGCTCCATCCACTTTTTAATTTGGAAAGAATCATAGCTATAGGGGCTGAAATATTTGTCTTCAAAAAAGCCTTTTCAAAAGTGAGAAGCAGCAGAACAGGGTTGCTAGCAAGAACTTTACATGGACCAGGAAGGGAGATGATTGGATAGCTTAGAGCAATTAAACTTCACAGAAATAAAGTCAAAGAGGTTTTCTTTGAAGAATCAAAAAGCAAACAAATCCCATTCATACTTTTGAAAAATAGCCATGACAACTGCCTTGTGTTTGAGTAAGAAGTGGTTAACTGATAAAAAAAGAGAGTAAGTTTCTGAGATTTTCCTTTGTTTTGTGAATGTTAGTGAACACAAAAGGGCATCCTGTAGAGGGTGTGTAGACCAATTTGACTGCTGCCATTCAGGCTGTTCTTTGTTATATAAAGTTTGGCATTCTTTTCACTGATGACACTACAGGCACAACATTGTTCAGCAATATCAGACCGTTACCTGGCATTTTGAATTGTGGATACATGAAGCACAATACCCCACATTCATAAAATGGAAGGGTGTTTTTTTTTTTTTGAAGAATTGAATTGTACTCTTTATATAGGTAAACCTGTGGCCTAACTATTATTCTCCATATGTCTGACAGTGATTTTAATGTACAAAATATCACAGTGCAATAAATCTGTTAGTCTTTAAGACGCCACAATACTTTTTCTTTTCTTTTTTCTTTGTTTTTGCTCTTCTTTGCTTTAATCTTTCCTGTTCTGACTCCTGCTGTTGTCATTATACAATGTGTAAGAGAAGCACATCCGTTAATCTTCTGAATTTTGACGGTTTTTGGAGCTGTAAAAAGATCCTGTTATTTTAATTGCCACATCCATTTCTGACACTGCAAGGAGGCTTTTAACCCTCTGTGAGATAGGCCCACGTTTTCCTCGTTACTCCACCCCCAGTCAGTTGCTAGGGCTTGCATGTATCCTAGCTACCGTGCTTAGCAAATAGGTGACTAGCTCTTTGGAAAGCCAATATCGCAGCTGAAATCTGTAGGCTCCAGCACACGCAGTCTTCCTGTTATAGGAGCTTCGCTTAGCTGATGCTATGGAGGCAATTACTTTGCTGAAGATGAAGTGGAAAAGCTGGTGCTTTGCTGAGATAAAACAAAGATAAGGAGGATTGCTTGGAACGGGAAGAGGATGTACTTGCGTGTGCGTGCCTTGTGCTTGGAAGCTGATGATGATGATAATCATCATGATAATAATGGCTGTGCTGAAATCATCAGGGTTTGCCTCCTGACAGCCGCAGAATACCTCTATTGTTTATAGCCCCCTCCTTCCCTGGCTTCCCCCACGCTGTCTTCCAGAAACAGCGCTGCTGCTGTTATTAAGTCGGCTAAGACGCTGTTTTTCCTCAGGCTGGCTCTGAGGCCGTTTCCAGGTATGGCGAAGGGGTCTAACCAGAGCAGGCACAAATGGAGCGCGCTCCACACATTCCTCCGGTGCAACATGAACCCGGAGACCCAACGTGTGGTGGTTTTTGTCATTCTGCTCTTTCTTATCATCATCAATGTTGTGCTCATGTTTCTCCTGGCATTTTATTAAGGAACAGGACTGTTGTTGCATGGTGGTATTGATAGTGGCAAAGTGTGGATAGGTTCTTCCGGGACTGGCTACATATCAGCAGGTCAGCTCGTCATTGTCTGAATCTGGTTTTCCTTGTCTTCTGTCATCGCCGTCTGTCTGAGCGTGTCTCCTGTGATTATTATTCAGGGCACTGTATCTCTCTCTCTCTCTCTCTCTCTGTTCCTGTTGCCTGTGTCTTGCCGTCCAGAGCACCGTAACATCATTGAAAGGAAAGAAGTACTGCAGACAGCTTGGTTAACTGAGTAGGTGCCCACCAGCCACCTCTCGTTTTCATCACCATGATGCTGCACACAGGCATGCTCAGCCTCTTAGCTGAGTGGACTTTGAAGCATTCAGCAGACTGTATCTGTGCACTCTATTGGCTTGTTAAATAGCACTCATTTGATGAACTTCTATCCAAGGAAAAGGCTGTGTGTCTCCAGTTGCTGTGAGAAAATCTCAACCCATTAGAGTCAGTATTGCTGTATAATTGAGACCATTGGATCTCTGAAAATATGTGCACTGGGATGTGAGTAATGCCCAATTAGCCATCATTGATTAATGGCTGATCATTAGAGTACATAAGAAATCTATGTGTACATTTGGTGACTGCACAGTGGAACGTATGTCTTCACCAGTGTTTATCTCATTTGTCCTAATGACTTTGGAGTTCTTTATTGAGAGTCATGGGTGAAAATGGTTGGTGGGAATCTTTGGACAACAAATTGCTTTTTTCCTGTTCTGATTCCAATGCAAGGACTGTGCCCCTGATGTTTGGGGCTGAAATAAGCTTTGTGAAATCAAGCTGAACCTGTCATCTGTTTGCTGGTATGTCTTTTGTTAACAGCCTTGCTCCATCTGGAAGTTCAGACAATAGTGTAGAGCTAGGATAGGAGAAAGCACTCAAGTTGGTAGTATCAAAGGCAGTTGATTCTTCAAGAAACACTGAAATTCAAAGAAGTCATGTTCCCAAATGAAATGCACACAGAGTACTATGGTGCTTACTATTCAAGACTTTGAATAAATTCTTCAACCTGCTGGAAATGTAACAAGTCCTTTCTTGGAACTGTAGGTGCTACAAGAGAGCTTTGGGTGCATTCTTCTCCTGTGTTCCAAAATTTGCAAATGGACATGTCATTTCCATTGTGGAGTGTCATGCTGTCGCCTAATGGAACAGAATCCAGTCCTGAGAACCATTTTGTTAGGTGTATGCATCATGTCTTGTGTGACGTGTTCTGTCCTAATCGATTATCTGGGTCTGAATTGTAACACACATGCTGTGGCAGCCTCCTGCCTCTGAAACACACAAACCCCATTAAAAATGTACTTTGTGCTTTGGTACATATGGGAAAGAAGCTAGGATTACTTGAAGTGGTTGGTGCAGGCCTGATAATTAATTAGTCTTCAGAAGAGTGATCTGGATAGCTTTTGTTAATGTGAATGAGGCACCACATTTGGTGGTTAAGGCAAATACTGTAAACAAAAACACAAGCTCTAGGAGAGTATTGTTTTCAAAATATAATGTAATGTTGGGAAAAATAAACCCAACTAAATAATTTTTTTCAAGGTTGAAAGCTTTTTCCCCCTATGCACTCTGAATACCTTTGGAAAAATGCTTGGGGGGGGGGAAGAAACTTTGCTTTCATGATAAAAATCAACAAAATGAATAGGAAGGGTAGACATTGCCTCCAAAAGGTTAAAGGCCTCAGTCTGCATTTATTAGCTGCAGCCTCCTTTGGGGTAGCCTCCATTCTTTTTGTTTGTTGTCTTGAGCACATATTTAAAATGTAAGTAAATGCTATGTATTGTATGATCCAGGAGTGTTCATAAAGTCAGAAACAAAGAAATGCCATGTTGAAGTAACTAGATACAAAACACTGAGGGCTATTTGGTTAAAAACTGGGGATTATTTTTTAAACCATGCAGTCTCTCTCTTGTGGTAAGTGCGCAGCAGCCTCTGCATACACAAATAGTTCTCTGTACATAGGCTGGAGGATTTACGAAAGTCACTCAGAAAAATAACTATTTTGAACTATCCTCTCCCAGAAACCCTTAACCAGTGTGGCTAGTAACTAGTCCTGGCAGGGAAGGGGTGATCTTGGAGTTGCAGTTTTAAAAGTTAACATCTCAACACTCAGCTATAAATTGAAAATAAGCCTATACTGTATCTGACAAGCAGCTCCAGAGCTTGGAAATTTCACTTTTTTTTAACTACAACTCTCAGAGGCCATATGGTCTGGGGATTCTGGGAGTTGCAGTCCAAAAAATAACATTTTAAAGCTCTGAGCTTCTCACAGTGAAAGCCAAAATCTGAAGAGGCTGGGGAATGTGGGGAGAGGACAAATGTCAAACTCTCTCTATAGTTTATCCTGAAAAAATCTTAAGAAAATTGACATTGAGGCTGTTTTCTCAATAAGGTTCTTAAAGCATTAATTCACAATATATCAAGGGGTTTCTAATATTGGTGCTCATCAAGTTTTTTTATCTGTCTTTTGTTTCGGTTTCTTATGTGTTAAAAACCTGTTATAAGTGCTGTCTCTCACAGTAAACACAAACTATAGTCATAGCACATCTGTCAAGCCTAAGTAAATTATTAGTGCCAGAAAACCTGCATGCAAAAGGTAAGCAGTGGGTTAATAGAGATATGACAGACTACAATTGTATTTATATCAGGCATATCAGGCAAAAACAACATACAAATAAAAAATAAAGAAGACTAACTTTAATGTGAGCTTTTGTGGACAAGTCCACTTCCACAGATGTAAAAGGAACTTTAAGGTGCCACAACATTTTTGTCTTCTTTTTTTTTCTTTTTTGTTTGTTTTTGCTGATAGGCTAGCACAGACTAACATGGCTACCTCTACTAAAACCACCACTACGGATATCAGGTACGTCACACTTGCAGCAAATCTATTGGAGTCAGTGGGAAAAGTAAGTTAAGTCTTATTGATCTCAGTGGCTGTGTTCCAGGCATTACCAGATATGTATCCAGACCATTGTCAAGAAGTGAACTCTCTGCTTTTTACATTTTTCCATAGCTCCTTGCCCACCCATTCCCATGATATTTAAAGCACTGGCTTTCCCAGGCATCCTTACACCCAGACATTGTATGTATGGAGACATACTATGCTGCATGATGTATCTTTAAATCAGAGGGAGGCAACTTGTAGCCATCCAGAAGTTATCCTTATCTGTCACCATTCTTTACTACTGGCTATGCTGGCTAGAGAAGGGAGTTACAGTCCAGTAATATGGAGGGAGGCCACATGTTGCCAACTCACAATTTAGATCATGGAATGGATCTCTGTACTTGATTGGTTTAGTTGCCAACTCACAATTTAGATCATGGAATGAATCTCTGTACATGATTGGTTTAGATTGTTTGGTTTAGAATTAATGCTCTACAATTACCCTATTCTTGACCGTTCTTCTTGGCCTTGTCAAACTAAGTGTATGTGGTCCTGTGCACATATGCACACATCTCCCAACAAACTAGTAGAAATGGAGTGATAAGTTGTGAATCTATCTGATCTGGATGGAGATTTCCAAGCTGTCTTGGATAGGACAAGTTCATTGTTTCAGCTTTTTCCTAAACATTGTGCCACCTGTGATGATGCAGGTAGCCACTGGTATCTAGCTTTTTTTTTTGACACATGCCTGCAACCTAGCTGATGATTAATGTAGTGATCAAGTACAGACTGCTTTCATGTATGGGTTTGCTTTTCAAAATAGTTTGAAAACATCAACCAGTGCAAAATGTGTCCCCTCATATGCTGCTGGGGACCAGGAAGTACAAACGTGATGATGCAGGTAGCCACTGGTATCTAGAAGAGGCTTTTTTTTTGGCACATGCCTGCAACCTAGCTGGTGATTCATGTAGTGATCAAGTACAGACTGCTTTCCTGTATGGGTTTGCTTTTCAAAATAGTTTGAAAACATCAACCAGTGCAAAATGTGTCTCCTCATATGCTGCTGGGGACGAGGAAGTACAAGCGTATGATATCATTATTATACCAGTTCCACTGGTTGCTGGTACATTTCTGGGCTGAGTTGAGAGTGCTGCAATACGGATTAAGTTCTCAAGTCAAGACCCCACTGTATCAATATTATACCAGTTCCACTGGCTGCTGGTACATTTCTGGGCTGAGTTGAAATGTTTACCTTTAAAGCAATTTTATATATTAGGTTATTTAAAAGATCTCCTTCATCCATACCTTTCCAGACTATGAAGTCACCAAGGCCTTGTTTCTAGGTTCCTATTTGGTAAGAACAATGGGGTTGGCTGGTACCAAAAACCCAGGCTTCTTGGTGGTAATCCCATGTTTGTGGAATTCACCTGTATTAATTTTTTTCCTTTTAAAAATAATCTTATTTAGGATTGCTTTCTCTTGAAGAGTTTAAACTGCTCCTGGTCCATAACTGTTTCAAATTGTCATTCATTATAATAATGTGTTGCTGGTTGAATTGGTTTATTCTGATGTTTTAAATGGCTACTTCTACAGAAATTGTATTATATGGTTGTTTTGTACAGGCCACCGTGAGAAGTCTTTGGCCTACAAGATGGCTTAGAAATAAGTAGACAAATAAAGCAAGCTTAACATAAAGGGGCAGCTTGGAATCGGACTTAGTAATTCTGTGGCAAGAGTATTAAATATAATGATATTATTCAGTGTGCTGTTCAGAAGATGGGAAGTTACTTGCTTTGCAATCCAAAGTCAGAACTGACTGGAATGGCTCCCTAATGAGGTTCTTAATATATGTTTGTATGTTTGTATAAGATGTTGTTTGCTACTTGAATTAAATTGGTATTAAAAT